CGCGGGGAAGGGGGCGTGTGGGCGGAGGGGGAGGGGAAAGAGTGTGCGGAGCGAAGAGCGGATCGCCGAGATGTGCGGAGCGCGGGAATGCGGCGGGTTTGAAATTTTGGGGGAGACGGGGGGCGAGTTTCCTTTCCGTGTACACGTGTTCGAGGGGGACCGTGACTCTCCAGCTGGCATCTGGAATTTTGGAGCCCCCGAATTTGGAGCCGCCCGTCTCCAGGCGGCTCGCACTGGGAGAAACTTTTTCGCGTTGCGGGCGGAGCGGAGCGCCTCCGGGCGCACGTGTCCGGCACGCTATCTGCGCCCGCGACGCCCATCTGCGCCCGCGCGCACGTGCCCGGGCGCCGCCGGCACCGCCGCCCCCCCGTCGCGCGCAGCACCACGCCGGGCCGTCTCGGCCGAAGCGCCGCACCCCGGCCTCTGACCTCTGACTCTGCCGCTCCGCGCGCGTGGTTCTGCACGACAGGCATAAATTTAAACGACAGCTAGCCAAACTACTGCGACAACGACAACTCGATAATACTACTAGACTCTAATGTGCGGCATGCCGCGGCTCATCTCCTCCATCTTCTGCACGTTGCTCTTGCTGCGCGCCCACCAGAGGTTGCCCTGCAGCACTTGGACGACCTCGTCGACGGCGACTGCGCCGCTCGCCCTGACCATTTTCTCCACGAGCCGCTTGGCCTTGAGCCGCGCGTTGCCGTCGCAGATGAGCAGGCATCGGTAGCACCCGCCAAGCCGCACGTGCACCCGCAGTAGCTGCCGCACCTCGTCCACGTACGCCTCGACGCCGCCCTCCCACCGCCCCTGCCGGAACTCCACCACGCGCGCGCTCGCCCCGAGCAGGTACTCCACCTCGCGCGTCTCGACCGCGTGCTCCTTCGCCAACCCCCGCACGAGCCCCTCCGCCCGGCTCGCCCGCGCGAACCGCTCCGCGTCCGCTTGCACCGCTCGCCGCACAACCTTTGCCAGCGCGTCGAACCCGCCGGTCTCCTTCCGGCCAGCCCTGAGCACGGCCGCCACGCCAAACACGCGCCCCTCACGCCTCCCGCCGTCCGGCGGGAACACGGCCAGGCCCCTGACCACCTTCCCCCTGCGCACGCTCCTGGCGCCCCTCCCCACGCACGCGGGCGCCAACCTGCGCAGCGCGCTCTTCTTGGCGCCCAGAAACACCTCGGCCTGCGCCTCAGTGAAGAGCTCGCTGGCGTCT